TAACAATGTTTTTAAGATGATTGTTGCTCAATAATCCGGCGTTCACACAACTTAAGATTACAAGTGGTAGGCAGGATGCGATCTAGCAAAAGCGGACGTAGAAGTAATGACAACGATAGAGCCCTATGAAAATTTGAAGGGTGAGATGCAAGTTGTGCTTCGAAGATTATATAAAAGCGAGAAAAGCCGGAGATACCAATTATTATTTATTACTACTTCGATAAGGTTGAATGAGACTTTGTTACGCCAAACAAGTTCACTGTTTGAAAATTAACTTATACATTCATTAATAGCTACCAAACTCACTGAACAAGATCATGAAGTACATATGATTTTGAGATGAAGGTAAGTGCGGGGCAGTTTCATTTGAACAATAGATGAACACGGTTTGGGCATTAAGAAAAAGCAAGGTAATCAAGCAAATTAGTTCTTTTCCTCGCAGCAAAGAAAAAGAAACAATTTAATAATGAAAGGGATTCAGAGTGATAATGTATGCACCCCGCTGAGTTCCCAATTGCACTTAAAATTATAAAGTCAAGTTATTAATAGACGCCGAGTGTAGCCGGGTTTGCCAGCTAGTAAACAATATTACTAGTTTTCTTAGCACAATGAAGCATATCGCTGAAAGTCGCAAATAGAACAAAACCACTGCATTTTCACATTCCGAAGCCTCCTTCTCAGAAAAGGAAAATGATTTGTTGATTTCCTGATCGATTTGATGCGAAAAATTCAGATTCATTTATAGAAGGTGGAAGATAGGATTGAAATAATGGAAGATGCAAAGGTTGGGAAGACATACGAAAATGGATCAGCGATCCTAATAGTGGGATTTTAATGTGTTCTGTTAATTTGCATCTTCTAGGTAATATTTTCGGAGAGTATACATAGAAAAGACGGAAATTCAAACGCAAACTAGATGGAATATACCTTATACACTGGTCTCATACCCGGAAAAAAAGGATAAAATGCCAATAGAATCTAGAGCAATTTGTGACAATCGCTAGTTGAATCAAAATAAAATATATTACTATTCGTTTTGAATCGTCCCAAGCATTTTTGGGAAATATTTTAGCAAATCAATGCTCCTCTCTTGCTCGAGATCGTCGATCAAAAGTGGAAATGAGCTGGCAACGCCCACTTTCAGGCCTACTACTTAAAAGCGATATACCCTGCTGTCA